AGCTAGATTAGCAGACTGGGAAAGCATAGGTACTTCAGGGAACAGTAAGCTTCAGGTCTCATCTGGGGAGGCAGGCAGCTTCCAAGTAAACTCTTGGACTTGGGTAGCAACTGAAACATTACCAACATTTCCAGGAAGGAAGGAAGAATAAAGTTATCATAAGAAGAGAAAGAAAGCCTTTGATGCTTAGTTTATTGAGAGACATAATACAATATATGAGAGATTTAGCCAGCGTTATTGAGAACTAGAGACTGCCAAGTCCTTCAGAAGAGAGATATAGAGTTGTTCAGGACACTTCCAAAGAATTTATAAGAGACAGCATCACTGGAGACCTCTTGTAGGAGTATTGGGCTTCTCCTTCAAGCTTGATCCTACAGTAACTTTGTAAGGAAAAAAAAAAACAACAAAACAAAACAAAAACACAAAACCAGTAACAGAACTAGGAAAGCACCTTCACATTACTGCCTCCCCATTATTCATCCCCTTACTGCTGTTCTATACGTTGAAACAGCCCATTAAAGCAATTAAACACCTCACAATACCTTCCATATTTATATTTATGATTTATCTATGATATTATTTAGCCTCATTTTAAAGGAAAGCCAAATCACAAAGACTATAAGATGCCAGATTTCAGCTGCTGCCATAAAACCCCAAAGGCAAACGCACCTTGAATTGCCAGGAACTTCCAGTAGAGCAGGCATAAAAACCCAATAACCTGCACCCCAGAGGCTGGCCAAGTCTTCAGAAAAAGCTCCCCACTGGGGCTAGAGGGGTAACACAATAGAAAGCACAGCAGTAACAGCAGAGTAGCAAAGCCTTAGGCTACAGCAAAAGAGGATTTGCTCAAACAAAACAGCTATGGGCACAGAAATGAACAAAAGAAGCTACTTACCACCAAAGGACCTCAGATATGCAGACATCTCCAGAGAGATACCTTTGTCTCCACTGCCAACCCTTAAATGAGGTCTGGGAAAGGATGGATCCTAGCTTTGGCCCTTCCAGTCATTAAGGTACATTGCATGCACCTGAGCTTCCCTGTGTTGGCCCTGCCTTCTTACCAGGTTCTTGGTTGCTGGTTCAAGCTGGGACATAGCATTTCCACTAATATATACAAACATTAGGCCTGGAAACTTTGACCACAAAATTTTTTCCTTAGCAGACAAAGATAATATTGTTGATTGAAGGTGAGAGCAATAGAGATGGCAGGGGTTTCATTTCCGATACCAAGGAGTTAGACATCTAGAGAGATTGTCCTATAATTTTTGATGTCCAAGTACTGATGAAAACATAACATAGGAAATGCAACTAGACTCATTTGCAGTTATGGGAGAGACAGTATCCTTTATATTGCGATTCTTATGATCTATTTGAGATAGATACTTAAGGAAAAGCCAAATCATGCTCTTCCTCTCTCATGGCTATAAGAGGAGCCTGGCACTATGGTGAGCATCTATCCTCAGAGAGAAAAATCCACCACCTTTGAGGAGGAAGAGCGAAAAAAACAGGCAGTTGCCATTTCCTCCACAAGAAAACTGAGCTCATTTATCCAGTCACTTAGACAGCCTTGGTGTCAAGCAGGATCTACTGCTCTTGTCTGTTCAGCCTCATCTTTCTCATTTCTCTGTTCCTTCAGGTCCACTGAATCTGGCCCATGAAGGCTGAAGCAGGGCCTGCTGCTGGAAGAAAACCACCACCACCTGAAGAAAGGGCAATTAAAGTGATCACTTGTTTTTTCTCTTTCTTTGGCAGATAAATGCAGACAAGGATAGCTGTGCCACTGTACGGTGTCCCAGAGATGCTTCACAGAAAAAATGAGAAGATGATCTTAAGAAAAGTATTGCCTTTTCTGGGAAACTCAGAGAGACACCTCAGTTTTAAAGGCACAACATACAAGTGAACAGTGACAGCTCAGGAGCCCAGTCCCCCTTCCATGTATCAATGATCGCTGCTGGTTTCCAGCTGGAGATATTTGTGTCTTGGTGTTGGAGAATGACATCCTTTACTGAAGACAAACAGGTATGGAACAGCTTCCTCCTCCCAGTGCTTCAGTATCGTATGAGGGAAGAAGCTGGCTGGCTCCATGTCTGGCATGTCCTCAGTGACTGCCAACAAGAATGCAATTAGTTCCAGTTGCAGAAAGCAAGCTGTTAGTTTTGTGTGTGTGAGAACAGATGTGCTGACCACATAAAAACAAGCTTACAAAGCTGGAAAATAATAATTTTACTCTTGCATAAATTTCTTCTCCATCCCTTGTGCAGATACAGTAGTCTGGGCAGTGTCCACAAGTGGGAGAATTCAGGTAGCACCTGGAGAGAACCCTGAAGAAGGAAAATTTTACTTCTAGGATAGAATGTGGGGAGTGTTGTGGAACTGCTTTCCAGGAACAGACATACAAGCCACAGTTTTTTGAATAAAGGTGCACCCATGGGGATTCTCTGCAAATGATGTGCTGGCCAAGCTCTGGCCAAATGCCAGCCAGTTATTGTATCTCAGGTCCCCTTCTAGTTCACATCCTCACTTGTGCAGGTATAATCTACCCCTAACATATGTGTTAAGGGTAGATTATAAGTATCCATTTCTTGATAAAACATTCAGGAAAAAAAAACGTAATAATTCTATATGCACGAGCTGTTAAAATTCTAATCACAACAGCCATCCAGAGGCAGACTGAGGTTATTCATTTAGGATGTGCATAGAGAAGTTTCAGTTCTTGTTTTGCAAAGATCTAGAAGCTTACTTTCCAAAAGTCCCCTGAGATTTCATGAAATCACTGGAGTCCAAGCTTAGCAAGCTTAGTAAAATCCTACGCAAAGCTGGAAAGCTTACTTCAATGGTTTTCAGCAGTCTCTGGTGTTACCACTAACTGTAAGGTACTGGTTACAGACTTCAGCTTCTACCTGGAATAAATTACAAAACCAAACATCCTGCAAATAAACACAGACCAAATGAGGTTGTTCACCATCTACCCTGCCCACAGCACATGGTTTCTCTATCCCATTACCTTTCAGCTGTTCTCTTCTGTAAGTACAAGCTGCCTTTGGAGGCACCTCTACCTGCAGCACCTGGACTAAGAGTACAAGCACAAGCAATTAAAACTGGCCTCATAAACCAGCTCCATCCTACAATGGGACTGTGGAAGGTGTCACATCTGGCACTAAACACCAGATTCACTGCTTCATAAAGTCCCAGGAACTGGTGGTTGGAGCAGAGGAATTAGTGAGTCTAGTTTGGCAGAGGACTGCGCCAGACTGCCTGAAGGATGTTAAGTACATTCATCTTGTCCACAGATGAATGAAATGTTATCAGTGGAAGCAGGGAGGATAATTTGACCTTTCCGTCTCTCTCTCTCTCTCGCTCTCTGCAGCTCAAGGAGAGAAAAATAAATTCTTCACAAGTTTCAATTCTTCACAAGAGGGTTGCCTGGGAGTCATAGGGGCTCACAAAGCAGGAACAAAGCTGCAAAACTATACTGTAGCAAAGGGAGCCCCAACTCCAAGGCTCCTGAACTCCAGCACTTGCCTGTTTTGCAGTTTCAGCCTTTTGTCATGGCTTGTCTTATGAATAGGCAATGAGCAGTGCATGCACACCTCTGCTCAATGAAAGCATCACCAGTGTAGAACAAAGCTACCCTCACTTCTGCCCTAAACCTAATAGAGGACAAGTCCTAATGTGCTGCCATTTGCCCCTCTCCTCTGCAAAAATGGCCACCGAAGTTTTTTGCAGAAGGTCACTGAGTGCTGGGGATAACCCTTCCCCACCACTGGCTTTTTCCTGCTTTGCTGCTATTATCCCTCACAACAAAATACCCCATCAGTAGTCCCTGTTCAGGATCACAAGGAAAGAGGCATTTTTGGAATTTCCAAATTCTTTGCTGTAGACCTGCCTAAAGGCAGTGCAGCATGTCACCTTATTCCTCTGCATCACCATGGGGTCTCTGGATGTTACCTGGCTTAGCATCCCTATTTCTGTCTGCCATGCACCTTTCCCTGCAGCTGCTGCCTTCACAATTCAGAGATGGTTTTCTTCTGCCCTGCTGTGGGCATGCAGCAGCCCATTGTTGAGCCTGGTTTCTGACTACTAACCCAGCTCTACCACTGGCTTATCCTGCAAGCTCAGCCATAACTACCAATTCTTCTGTCTCTACAATGAAAACTGATGAATTTTTGGAAAGTGTTGTGCAGGCCTTTTTCCCAACGTACATGGTAACTCCTCTCTAGTTAGCCCTATGGCAATATATATCAATGTGCCTGGCACAAGAAAAACACAAGGCTTCTTTTCATCCCAACCGCCCGTGTTTTTGAATTTTGTCCCATTTGAATTCTCAGCATGTTCTGCTGGTAGAAGTTTTACTCTAAAAGTTATGAAACTGTGGTTTGTTTTGTTTTTGGCAAAGAAAGAAGAAGATAATTGCAAAGCTTCTGTGAAGTCCAAGAGTGGGAAAATGTGTTCAGCAGGAGCAGTACAAGCACCACATGAGTGTGTCTCAGGAGCACTGGGAGAAAAGAAAGCAAAACTCAACACATCATCTCTTCTATCAAGATCCAACGCACCATCCCTCTAGTACTGGCACTTAATGTAAAATCCAGTTTCCCTCCAAGAAGCAGCCTAATTGATGCACAGGATTGTGAGCATATTAGCAGAAGAGGGTCTTTGTGTGTGTAGACATCAATGGGGGCAGGAGGAGATGGGCTGGGCTTAATGCCTCTCTGGAGGTCAACAAAGGGGAGCAGAGCTGCAGAGGGGCCACAGACAGAGGTACCTGCAAGGCACCATGCAACGGCCCAAACAGGGCTTGAGTGTTCTGATGCTCACACCAGCACACAGCTGACACACTTGATGGGAGCTGCCATTAAAACAAGCCGGTTGTTAATAAGTGAAACCTTTTAGCCCTAATTGGTGGAGAACCACAAGTCTGGAAAACTCCCGGAGCTCTTCAATTATAGATCGTGCCCCAGAACTGCTGTGAAGAGCTGAGATGTTTCACAAGTCACCACAGATCTGTTGCTGCCCATTTCACTGCAGAGCCATGGTTCCACTCCTGCATGTCAGAGCTGGGCATGGCTGGGGTAGGCCTGTGGCAAACCCCATGGACAGGAACACCTGCAGCTGGAGACTGGACCTGAATGAAAAAAGCTGTTTTTGCAGCAGTTTGCTGCTCTTCTGCACCCCGTCCCCTGCTGGACGTTTTCTCATCAAGGAAAGCTGACCTCATACCCATCAACTCAGTGGGACCAGCTGACTCACACAGGTTTTGCAGCCAAACAACCCCAAGTTGTTTCCAGCAGCAGTCCCCTTGCTGGCTTGCTACACCTCCCATAACTTCCTTAGTCTTCTCCCACCTGAGTGCTGAACAAGGTGCTTTGTTTCCACACCCAAGCAGGGCCACCTCACTGTGGTCAGAGCCTTATTCCTAAGATGCTGGCATTACCACGCCTTCAGTCTGGCTTGCCTTTCCCCTTGATGTCTCTCTCATATGCAAGATGAACTACCTTCCCCTGCGCCACCCTGAACGCAAAACATGCAGATGGAGACCACTGAAAGAGGTATGAATGATCCCTGCTTGCCCTGCACAATGTGAGGCAAGCAGCCAGCACACAGCTAGTTATAGGGACTCCGCTAAGTGATAGCAACATCCACTGAAGGCAGCAATGGGCTCTGAAACCCCTCTGGCTCTACTGCTTGAAGCCCATGTGGCTCCACCACATGAAACATTCAAGATGTTTCATTTTGAAAATGCCTAAGGGATAGCTACATTCTGGCAGCCAAAAAAAAAAGAAAAAAGAAAAAAGAAAAAAAAAAAAAAAAAAAAAAACGAAAAAAGAAAAAAGAAAAAAGAAAAAGAAAATAAATTTCCCAGCCTGGCTCCAGCTTCTGGAGTCCAGAGCAAGGAGCTCAGGTAAGCTGTCTCCCTGCTATTTT